GAGGAGGAAATTGTCACTGAGTCACAAGCAAGCAGCTATTCATAGTATACTCAACTGCATAAAAACACACATTTTTTTTTTTACAGCCATATTCCTATTAACCTATTTTGTTCTAGTTCAGAACCTCCCTTCCATCCCCAACATATGATGTAGTCCTCTGCTCGCCTCTTCAGTTTTCTGTTTATCTTTACTAGGCTACTGTTATTTGTAGCATGGAGATAACAAGAGAACAAAAATATTTAAACTACATATAGATAGTGACATGACAAACTCTTTGTAAGAAATACCCAGAAAACCGAGTGAGAGCATTTTCCCTTAATTACATTATTTTCTCCTTTAGAATGACGTTGAGAGAATAATTTTCAAAAATGAGAAAGCTTTTTCCTCTGACATTCAGTGTTTATTGGATCATGACCAAAATGAAAAAATGATAGTGTTTGAGGTGAATCTGCAGGTTTAACTCAAGAGGGAATACAGTACCTAAAGACACAGGGTACAAGAGTTGCAGGCTCAATTCTAAGCTCTGCTGCAAATTTTCTTCTCCATCCTGGTTTCCATAGCTATTAACATGACAGTGCAACTTTCTTCTCCCATGTTTTACCCGTTTTGTCCAACTGGCTGGGACAGAGGGGGCAGAACCTTCAGGGGCAGAAAGCTGCCCATTACTGAATGCTTAGGCAGTATGTAACGCAAAAAAAAAAAAAAATGTATTTCTCTGGTGGACTCCTTGAGCATTGAAAATAAAGCTGCTTTCTTTCAAAGACCTCTGACATAACAAAAAGCAAAGGGAATAAACACATAAAGGAATGAATGGCTGCATTATCCCGAGAGCAAATTATACTGCTGCTTTATATAACAGGTATTGCCTCAATCGGCAGAGTTCTGGGAAGAGTTTAAATTAAGCCTGGTCTCCAAAGGTTTATTGCATTGGAGTCTCATCATTTGAAGAGGTTTTCTCTCTTCTACACAGAAGCAGAAATATCCAAGCTGTGAATTTCTGCTTTAGAAAACAGCAGAACAATGAAGCGGTGTTACAGGAATCCATAATCATCAAATTTATTCCCAGTACAGAAAATCAGAAATAAGCCAAACACGCAGGCCTTCAGAATTTCATACAGCTTTCCTGTTTTACCAAACCTTTTGACAAAACATGGGTATTCACAAAATGCAAGCCCTGCTAAGAAATATCCTTGTTTGCACTTTGTAGTTATAAGCTGGCTTGCCATGAACTGCGGCTCTATTATTTTTGTAGCTTTAGATTTTAGTTGCAGTTTGGCTTTATGAATACCATGTTCTTCTTTCAAAAATCCGAAAACACTGCGACTCTTTTGTATTTGTTTTTGTCACCCCAATCCCACCCTGGTCTTTTGCAGCACAACATCTGAAGCCTATAGAACAGAGGGAACTCAAGACAAGTGAGTTGCCATAAAGAAAGCAACAATCACTAGCTCCTAGTAACTGAGCTTTGACCTACTCTCGGTGTCTCCCAATAGTAAAGTAAAATTCATTAGCTTGAAACACTACTAATCCCAACTAACAGCTCTGAGGGTAGATCTTCCTTGCAATAAATGAGGTACAGTAACATGTGTGTGCATTTAATAGCAACTAGTCTCAGACTAATACCACCCAAAAGGGCAAAGCTGCTCTCTCAACCTTGAATGTTTCCAAAGTCAGTTAAGCACATCATCTAGCCTGAAACACTCTTCCTACAGTGGTGTCACTTTTCAGTTTTGACTCATGTTCTCTCTTAGCAGTGCTGCTGGGCTATGCTAAATTAAGACTAGGTTTTTAAAGTCTAACTTTGAAGTAATATGGGAAAGATTTCATCCATTCGCCCAGAGAAGAGGAAATTTCATAATTCCTTTATATATGCAGCCTTTTTAAAGGAAATGCCTATATATGTTTTTAAAGCAGCAGGACAGGTTGGTCATGGATTTAGTTTCGGAAATACATCTTTCAGATTCAGTTTTACTGCCACACATGCTTCCTACTACAGTAAAATACAGGATAATTTTTAACAACACTGTGGCAGTATTCAGAAACTCCAGTTCCTAATTACACTGTGCACTACACAGACCAAAGCAGCTCCCGGCCTAGAAACATAATCTCCTTCAAGTGTTAATGAATATGATATTTATAAATGCATGAAAGACAAATGTGAAACAGAAATTTAGATCTCAGAGTAAGGCTGTGTAATGACAGCACATTGGCTGCCGCAGACTAATGTTTTTATCTTCCGTTCTCATGGCTCCTCCAAACACGCTGTTGTAATTACTGCTCCCTTGGCTGAAGCTGCCAGCACTGACTCTCGCTGCTGTACCTAAGAATAAACATCTGAGCGTCCCACGTCTCATTTCTCTCTATTGTCTATGCAGCAATTGTCAAATTATACTTCAAATAAATTTGAAACAAAACTATAAAACAAAAGTATCAACAGTAGCTTCTCTTTAATTTCAGATTAAAAGTTATCAGCAGTCAGAAGAGCTGCAATTCACTGGAGGCACTCGTGCTAATAACGTCAGTAATGCACTGCTGTACATTTTGTGATACTGTAAGTTAAAAACAAGCACATTTACAATTCAAGGGCTATGACATAAGAACATTCATTTCCTCAGAGCACGCTGCACAGGGACCGTTCTGCTTCTCCACATTCCCTAGGTATGTTCCTAACACTTCCCAAATGCCTCTGTTCAAGAGACCGAAAACAGCCCTACCTCTTCATTCTCCATGTTTATGCTCAGCACGTACAAAGTGACCTGCTATTATTTCAAAGCTTTCCATATCAGCGAAAAAGCTTTCTTCAGAGACATTCCACAGACACAGATAAGAATACCCAAATTCAGCTCACCTTTGACATGTCACCATTATCACTGAAGTGAATATCCCAAAATGAAGATATGAGGCTTCTTAAAAAGAACTACTGTTGGTCCAGCAATATGCTGGCCCTATTGTTTGAGTGCAATAACCTGGTTCTACACAAGAGACAATAATTAGAAAAAAATCACAGCAGTGCCTACGTAAAAACTAGATTTAACAAACCAGTGCTTCAAACACCACATTTGCTTTTCCTTGCGCTTGTCACTCAGTCTAAATTTGCACCGTCACCCACGATACCCACCCAGATGAGACATCTCATTATGTAAAGTGAAATCCAATTCTCACGTAACCCTGCATCATTTACAGTCTCACACAGGACTTTCTTCTTGATCAATTCTGCAGGGGCCGGAACAATTTCCACAAAGAAGATTTTAAAATAACTTCTGAAGGAGGCACAGTGACCTCCACAGTGGAGTAAACCAGGACATGGAAATACAGTCCCCGCTTTGCAATTAAAAACTACTAAGAGAAAGCAATTGTGGGAAAAGCAAAAACAAAAACACAGAAAATCCCTGTCCCTTGAATCCCACAGTATTCTGCTTGATACCCAAAAAGAGCAAATACGTTTATGTTCTAAATACTAACTTAAATTTTTATTTTTTAAATTACCAAGATGTCTGTTATAATGTAACCAGATCAGATTTTGCTCCATTACCTCAACCCTGTGAGAAAGATGTCTTCAGGAAAGAAATGGAAATAGAAAGTTTTTAAAAGTTACTCTTTTATGACTCTGAGTTATGAATTTCGCACCTTTGACATGTCCCTTTCATTCAAGAAGATTATGAAAAGTCTAATTCCAAACAGAGTAGAATAAATGAACTGACAGAAATGGCCTGGTCCCCTGTTGAACCTTCAAATATATGAGTTTATTACTTAAAACAACTTTTCTGATTTTGCTGTATGATTTCTTGAAATAATAGGTTGTTTAGGACTGCATGGTATCAGACTAACTGGAACAATTGAAAAAAATACATTAATTATGCAATGAGTTAAACAGGGTTAGTTGAAAACAATTTTGGAACAGGTCACTCAGTCTAACAAGTAGTCTCATTCCACTGTTTCTCATGATCTTCAGCCCTAATCCCAATTAGATAAGCATTTGTGTGCTTTTCTACTACATTAATTTTCTCTGTTCAGTAAGCTTAATTGATTCATCTAGAAATCATTCTGCTACAGCAGAAATGGTAGGCATAGATTACCTGCCATGGGACTATAGCTTTGAGTGGCAACTATGTGTTAGCTCAGTTTACCTCATCTCGTAAAATTGTACTTTCCCAGGCCACCTAAGCATTCTTAACTGCACAGCTTTCAGCTCCTGCGTTCTGGTCAAGTGCATCATTTGTTCAACTGCCATATTCTCTTCCATTGAATTTTGCAGCTAATGAAATAAGGAGAAAGGATTCCTCCCCCTCCAGAAATATCATACAGATTGTGTACATATCAAAAAAAAATCCCCCCATATTTCCTTCTAGCATTCTTAAATGCGTTCTTTTTCAAATGAAGCTTAAAAAAAAAAGTTATCGCATAACATACTGATGTGCAATTATGTAAATGCAGAATCAAGACAACTATATTCAGGCTTCCCAATTTATGTCAGTCTCTCTGAATACAACTTACCACATATACATATGCACACACACACACACACGTCAACAAGTATATATATAAAGGATTAACTTTTTCATAAGAAAAAGATTTAAGGGAACATTAAATTATTTCAATAATTTAAGAATATGAATCTACTTCCTCTGTGTTAAAATTAAATAACATCCACCACACTTTATGCCAATGGTATAAATATCCAATGCATTTATATGTTACATAGCATTCTGTTTTGGCATATCTAAATTGGACAGACGAAATACAAGAATTCTGGACAGCCTCTGTTATGAAAATAAATCTGCCCTAATACCAGAGTTTTAATCTGTGTACTAGCAATACTTTTTCTAAGATAATTTTATTGCAGTTAAGTTTATTTTGGCAAAAACATTGTGAATAGCTTTGACAGACAGGGGTTTTGTAACGAGATCATAGGCTTAGTTCAGATTTGCCCTCTTCTGATCTGACAGACAGTATTTTACCACATTGGCTCTAGTCACTGACTGATTTTTGTTCTCAAATACCTGTCATCACCGTCACTGATGCATTCAGGAAGAGCAAGACTACAGCCAAACATCATGATGTGTTGATAGCAGCTGAGACGGTTGAGATAACTGAAGAACTTCAGGAACTTTTCCATTTCGATGCTTTTGACAATGGAAAGAACTGAGGTTAGAGTGGTGTAGTTATATGGCAGCATTTGGCACTGGCTGTTGGTGATATTTATGCAGGCACCTGTGAAATTAAAACAATTAAATTTAGAACAAACGAACCAACTACTAAATGGTGATACTCAGCCTACATAGAATTTCTTATATATAATATATAAGCAGTTCCTGTTCCTTACAGATAACATGACACACCACAATGTTATTACAACACCGTCTAAAAATGAGCATCTAAGAACAGAAGGCATCTGGATAAGCTTGGATATGCAACTAACCTCTTAAAGATTTTCACAATTCTCTGACCTTCTCAGTCTACAGAACTAAATTAGTCGCCAAAATGCCTGGTGATGCAAACTGGATGAGCACACCACAACAGCTGAATACAGCCAACTTTGGCTGAAGTCAAGTAGAGATGCAGTATAGAAAACTAAGGCTAATTGGAATTGCAATGTTTTAGGATGTTTCCACCAAGTTTCTACCACTATTCTGCTTTGTAGCTGCTCTTCCTGCCAAAACTCAGCAACTTCCGTTTTTCCCAGCATTATGTAGACTCCCCTCTACAGTCTTTATCCTCTACCCCACGACTACAGGTTTTGTTTTAATATACAGGTTGAACACCTACTCTGTCCTAACATGTTACTGATCCACTCTCTAGCTACCAGAGATCCTTCTCTGCAGTACAGCAGGCTCCCTCAACTATAAATGATCAACAGGTTAACATGTCACTTGAAGTTCTAAGAGTGTGTTTCATAAACTACACAAAATTCAGGATGGCAAGAACAAACCATTAAAATCTAATACTTATGAGAGCTCCCTGTTTTGATATTGACCTTCCTAGGCCACCTAGACATACTCTGGTACGAATTACATTCAAAACATGTCTATTTTGTACAAACAGGGCACACCTGTTATCAAACAGTGTTGATCCTAGTCCAGCGTCAGTCATTTCAGAACTGCCTGCTTCCAAGCATTGTGTGGGACACCAACACTTGACCTCCTGTCTCTATAAAAACTGAGGATGTAGCTACATGGGCTGTAGCTCTAAGGCCTCAGCAAAGCTCTTCTTCACTTTACCATCTCACACAATCTTCATTGTCTAAATGCACTAGTGGCAAAAAGTTCTAAATCTGGTATCTACATAGTCCATATACATAGATCTAATCTTAGTTCCTACATTCTAAGAGTTAGGAAAACAAAACATAGTGAAGAAAAACACTTCATTACAATTTTGTAAAGCTGAAGTGTCCTTGAAGGGACTGACATAAAAAGGTTTCTTATTTTATCTAGATTTGGTAAAATCCAATCTCTATTTTTCCAGATTCTGATAAGTGTACTCAATAAACTTACCCTGCACCTCTGTCTCCAGAAATATCAACAAAAACAAGGATTTGGATTTTGCTTCCCTAATAGAAGAGCAAGTCTCTGCCTCACACATCTGCAATTACACAAGACCCCCAACCTCAATAGTGCAAACAACAAACCTCAGCACCAGTATATACCCACCTTCTGCTACAACCTTTTCTCACTCCTACACTGCAGTGAGTGATGGAGCTATTCATCCAGGAATTATATTTTCTATATAATTCAGGCTTAGATTCCCAGGGTCACACCTCTCATGTTGATTCACTATTAAAGGTAGATGCTGGGAACTTAACAGAAGTGGTAACTTTACACATTAAGAAATTTTTCAAAAAAGTGCAGAGTGCAGTTTTTAAAAGGGTCTATGCCTAGTTTCTAGGAGTGTCTAGTACCACACACCAGTGGTAAAGCTTTGCAGAAAAAGACCTGAGGGCCCTGCTGGACAAAAAGCCAGTAACGTGCAGTGCAGCAGAGAATATAGAGGTATCCTGGAGTGCATTAGAAAAGCAAGAGGTGAACCTGCCCTTTCCTCAGTCCTGGTCAGCCCATAGGAAGGTGACTGAGCGCTGGAACAGGTTGCCCAGAGAGGTTGTGGAGTGACAGGCAAAAGCTGACCGGATAGAGCTCTGGGTAGTGTGGTCCAGATAGTTCTGTTTGAGCAGTTGGATTGGACTAGACAGTCTCCAGAAGTCCCTTCCAATCTCAAATGTTCTAAGATTCTGGGAACTGCAGCAGTAATTGCAGGGCTGCACTCTCAAAAAACTTCTGTGGCAAATCAAGAAAAACTACCCGTGTTATCACAGTTTTAGTTCTGCACAAGGCTAATTAGCTCAGGAAAAGCCATGCACTTACACGGCACAGAGCTGCACAGCACAGATGCATCAGCCCTCTCTGAGCGAGCCCCAGACCTCCAATCCAGCGGTGCACAGGCATTATTTTATCTCCACAGTCCAGGCCTGAGGGAACCTTACTGAATTTTCTGTTTTTCTCTCAGGTTCCGCACAACTGCATAAGCTAGAAAAGAGTCATACTTTGCATAACACTTGTTTCATAGTCAGGTTGTTTCACTTAAATTGAGACCAGAACAGAACATGAAGATTTTCTATTCCCACCACTTGCATAAAACAAGATATTAAGCCCCTCCATAATTCTTGAATCAAGCCCAATAGCTTGTGACAGACGGAACATATTCTTTGGACAGACAAGTGTGTTCAGTGCCAGAATTGCTCCGTATGCAGACGAGCAGCAATACAGACACAGCATTCTAAGGAGCAAGGAATATTTTATTGCAAAGGATACTAAAAGTAGTCAGTGTTAAGTAGGAGGAAGGCCATCTAAAATACAGATGAAATGGACCACTTATTTAACAAGAATATGGTATTTAAATAAAAAAATAAAGCAGATATTGTCTCTTTATTGTATTTTTACATTATTTTAAGGGTTTTTTGTCCCCCCAAATAAAGGGGAACAAATCTTCCACTGACCAATAGTCATTCAAATAAGAAAAGCACGTAACCATTCTACCAAATTACTAACTGCTGCTTCATTTGTACAGGCTAATTGCATTTTATAAACTATTCTTCGCCCCAGTGCCAGAATGCTAATAAAATACATGAATGTATCTGACTGATGGGATAACATTCTAATACCAAACATGTTGTTAAAAAACAAAAAACAAAAAACAACAACAAAAAAAAACAGTCCAGAGGAGAGAAAAAAAAATAATGATTACATAGGAAAAAAGGAGTAGTGAATGGGAATAACATGAGAAAATGTGATAATCAGAAGAGTGTGATTCCTAACTATACAGGTCATTTCTGACATTCAGGTAAATGAAGAGTTTTCTGTTTATCACTGGCTAATAACAAATGGGCTGAACTGGTAGGAATGGGCTTCTTCCTATTCCAGTAATTACAGTGCAAGTTTATGTTTTCATATTCAGCTTTGCTGATACTAATTTAAACCACACTTTTTCCACTTTCCCTCTCCCCTCTTTGGATTGTTCCCAGATTGCACCAGGCAAGGACTTATTTGCAAAGCTACATAAGTGAAGCAGACTAGACAGAACTGAGCCAAAGGAAAACAACCACCTACATGCTTTCAAAAGAGGCAAAGCTTATGGCAGCCCCCAAGAAGCAAAACCAGAACTGTAGATTGAAGCAGATCAATAGTTTTAAAACTCTCAGCTTTGACTGGAGTAAGGTCATGACTACGCAGCCACCGGTGGTCCTTGCTTCTGACCATAACATCGGCCTGTACCAGAAGTTGGCCCAAAGGTTGAAAGTTGGGTTTTTTTGTTTTGTTTTGTTTTTTGAGGGGGGTGGGGTGGGGAGAAAGAGGGTAAGAAATAACTATTTCACTTGGTTCAGGTCACTGAGCTTATGAGCTTCATAGCGATTTAGCAGCAAAATACTTGTTGTAGGAAGCAGAAGGGACCGCGTAGTGGCAGGAGCTAGCGGGTTAGAAGAGAGGCTGCTCATAGGAGCTAAGCAGAACTTTCATGATGTGTCACCACTGCTGAACTCTGCACGACACTTTGAAAACAAAAAAAAGCAAAATACACTTTGCACCAGCAGAATCAGTTCTTGTCAATGAGACATGAAATAAAACATTTTAACCTTCGGTGAAAACCAGAAAGAAATGACAGCGTTCACCTGGCCCTCTCCTAGTGACAAACTCCAACAACACAGAATCAAACCTCACTTCTAACATGCAAGTATCTTTAAAATTTCTTAGAATCCAAATAAAAAGAGAAAAATCAAATCAAACTCCTGCATTGTAACTTGCAAGCCGATCTAACTTGCCTACGGCAGTAATTTACAGACTTCTTGATATGGGAACCACCTTCAGAAAAAGATGTTACTTCAATCACAGCTGGCATTTGGTCATAACCTTAAAAGGATATTGTGATACTGTGTGATTTCAAAATGTCATGTTTCAGATATATGAAGCTCTATAACGTCTTTTTTCCCTCCTTATACCCTGTTTCTATTGCATATCCGGATTCTCATGGACTTCTGCTGAAGATCAAAGGAGTCTGGGGCTCCACCTAGAATCTGGTCTTCTCAGAAAAGCGTCTTTCCAGATCTCATTAATATCTTCACATATTTTAATATCTGTTTTAATTTACTTTGATATCTTCATACATTTTTCATTTAAATTAAAATAGAAGACAGGCAGACTTTCTGGCCTTCCTCCAGCTATGAATTTCTCATATAAAGGCTTCTTTGGACCAAAACTGCATTTCAGATGTTTCTCCACGATTCAGGACAAGCTTCCCACTATTTGATTTTACTATGAAACATTTCAATATATGCCAGCTGTTAGAATCGATCCTTCTGAATCAGCCAGCGGGGAGATCTATAAACTGTTTTCCCAGTGGTTTAAATATCAGTAGTTAAAATCAACAATTTTACAACAAAAGAAAAGTAACTGCATTTTTTTTAATATAAACTTTGAATTGAAAACACAATTTCCACAATTCACTGCAGCCTCCGTTCCCTCATAAGAAAGCCTACTGGCTGCTGAGCATCCATGTCAGGTTACTGTTATACACTAAATATGTTTTCAGACACTTCCTTGCACTTTTTCCACACTGCCAGAAAAGCTGTGTATTTTTTTTCCTCTCCCATGACACATTATATCATAACAGCAAACATTAATTAATCCTTACAGAAGGGCACATAGCATATTAAACTGCAGAAGAAA